GCAAATACAAATCATTTACTAAAACGTTACTGTACTCTCGTGAACTGTCCAGTTCTGGCTCAAACACAAGAGTACACAGAAGCAATTACCAATATTCTATTTCATCCAAAATTAGATGAATTTCTAGTTCGAAAGAAAACAGTCTATCGTGGCATAGTTCTTGAGGAGAAACTCGTATCCAACTACAAGAAAGACGCTATAATAATAACAACAACATTTCTATCTACATCTACAGATGAACATGTAGCCAAGATTTATTGTGATAATCCTCCTAGAGACCAAATATCAATATTTTGCACGTATAATAGGGTGGGTGTGGGTATGGAGAAAGAGAACATCCATACTCACACCCACACCTTCCTTGATATCTACAGAAAAATGTTGAATCAAATCTGCCAGATGTTAATATACTTGTCATTTAGAATCATCATTCAATGAAAGATTATGTTTGCAGCATTGTTCAGAGAAGAGAACTGAAAAAAGAAAGATATACAACCATTTCAAAGCGGAATAAAATCACGTTTTTCTCTTGCAGAGTAAAATGAAAATTCTAACTTAGTTCAAAAGTTTGTATTCATTTACGAACAACATTCATCGATTCAAACAATTGTTGGCCTTTACAAGACGTGATTAATTTTACAAGCTTTCATTTAATATAAAATTAGATTTTACATATCTTATCGTTTACAAGAACTACGCTTTCATCAAACAGGAGCCTATGAATGTCATAGATAAACATCTTTTCTTGGTACAGTATAATGGCTCAGACGATATTGAAGAAGTGGCTACTGTCTATGTATTACGACGAGGTTGGATTGACATAAAATTCTATAGTATTGAAAAAAAAACGATAAAAAACCAATAGCATATGTTAATAATATTCACATAGTACCTAACTCGCATAGAAAATGTTCAAGGACAACATTTCGATGCTGTTATTGTGTCTGGAGGTAGGTATGATCTATATAACCCAGGTATAATAAAATACTAGGCTTTGATTTTTATTATGTGGCTGATAAAGGTACAGAAAAGATAGTCTCATGTAAAAAAAAACAGGTGCTAGTTTTTTTTTTTGATCACCACAAAACAAACTCATAATACAACATGTGATCCTGAAACAACTAATTCAGATGACAATAAATTTAAATCAATTTAACTCGATGCATTTGTTGTCTATAGTAAAATTAATAGTCATCATTTACTAACGAGTCAAGGACTAACAACAGCAATTGAATTTGCTTTGAAACTGTTATCATATTCAACTGATGACAGAAAAGCTGAAAAAGTACGTAAAAATGAGTTGCCTAACACTTTATCATCTTGTTCTCTTTCTTTCGGTATCATATATAAATAAACTCGCATTTTGTATTTTGATGTAAGCGAGCAAATAAAGAAACGCTTTTCTTTGTTTTTTGTTCCTTTTTTTCAGAATATAATGATATCAAATCGTTATGATATTGATGATGAAATATATATAAATGACTTAATAACAAATGAAGATATTCCTTCATTTGTTAAATATTTTAACAATCCAACATTACATGCTAATTTACTAACAAAACCATATCCATATACAACAAAGGATGGTGAAGATTTTATTCAAAAAATAAAATTAAACTCATTAAGTTTACCACGTATTTTTTCTATTCGTTTACAGACAAATAATGAATTGATTGGTGGATGTGGTTTTCGTCGTTCAGTTAAAAATGAACGGCGAACAGAAATTGGATATTGGTTAGGTGAACCATATTGGCACCGTGGTTTAATGCCTAAAATTGTAAAAAGAGTAATTGAAATAATAAAAAATGAATGGAAAAATTTAGTTCGGATTGAAGCAAAAATATTTCCATGGAATAAGGCATCAATGCGAGTTGCAGAAAAATGTGGTTTCGTATTCGAAGGAGTATTACGTAAACGTACACATAAAAATGGACAAGATATCGATGAACATCTATATGCATTGATTATTGAATAATTGAAATAAAATTCGTTAATTTTATTATTATTTATTAGTATTGTTTTTCCTTTTTGGATATATTTTTTTCTGTTGTTTCATGAATTTAAAGACAAAAGTGTTTTGTAATTTCAACTATATTCTAAATAGTATTTGAGCTAAATATAGATGATTTCCTCTTTGCTCTATTTTGTATGTCACTAGTGAAAATCATAATCAACAGAAGAAATTGTCCATTATCCTTTTGATTGAACAAAACAAGAAGAACAAGTTAGAGATTCGAAAGAAACTGCATAATTGAACAAGATCAATGAGAAAGGTGCGAGTGTTGGTGTTAATTTATACTAGACTCACGTCTCATACCCACATCCCATAGTATGATGGAGGTGGAATGTTTAAACCAAATGGAATTTACTATACAATATTATTGTTTGATTGTTGTTTTCCGTCAATGGGATACAAATATACGAATATTTTCTAGTGCTGAAATACTCGGTAATTGGGCGAATATCGGTCAGCTAGATTATTGTGCCGATGAAAGGACTCCGCCCAAACACGTAACCGATATGACTATAAAGCCGTGTTCGATCGATGATCCGTTTAGTACGAATTTTATATTTCCTGCTGAACAATTCAATGTGGCTACTTTACCGATATCATCAGAAGACCCTGTATATCTTGAGATGTGAGTGTGAGTGTGAGTGTTTCTTGTGGCACCAACCACCCTCCATACCCCACACTCACACCTCCTGTAGTAGTACTTGAGGATTCAATGGTACCTCCTACAAACCCGGAAATGACCGAACCTCGGGAAGTTCGGGTTCGGCGCATGCCTATATGAGACTGTATGAATCTATTGAAATGTAGATGTAGAATGTAGATATTTGTCTTTTCTTCACCTAAATCTCACACCTACAGTCACCTGCCCAATACATCCTCTTTATCATCCATTGGTCTTTTGAACTGAGAAATATTTGAATAATTAAAAAATGGTCCCATCTAAATATAGAAGCATTACAATCAAGTGAGTAATGGAATAAGATAAAGTACGAGATAAAAGGCTAACAAGTCTGCAAGAGAATATTTAAACTGTCAGTTCCATTATTTGCGACGGCAATATCTAATTTTCTGTCATTGTTGAAATCGCCAACGACAAGAGAGAATGGATTGGACCCATAGTCCAACGCAAATAGGATGATACTTGCAAATGAACCGTTACCATGTCCAAGAAATACACCTAGATTGTTGTTGTCATGATTCGCGATGACAATGTCTTGTATTGTATCATTGTTAAGATCACCAACAGCTAGAGAGTATCGAGACGAATATGAACCTGTTGAATACGCCATTAGATTTCCAAACGAGCCATTGCCATATCCAAGAAAAACACCAACATTATCCGAGTTACAACTACCAAAAACGATATCCACTCGAGTATCGTTGTTCAAATCACCAACACTCATAGTGCATGGAGATAAATATGGACGAGTTGAATATGTCGCTTGATTTGTAAAAGATATATTACCATATCCAAGAAAAATACCAATACTGTGAGTAAGTGAATTGACGACACCAATATCCATTAGACCATCATTATTAAAATCACTAATTACTAACGACTGTGGTCGGGAACCATTTCCAGTCATAAGCATCATTTGCTTCACAAAAACTAAATAGTCATAGCCAAGAAGGACACTCACGTCATTACTCATATAATTGGCGACAACGATATCTAATCGAGTATCATTGTTGAAATCACCAACGGCTACAGAACTTGGACAAGAACCAACTGAATATCTTGTTTCTTTTCGAAAAGATCCGATGTCATATCCAAGAAGGACACTCACATCATTGCTACCACAATTGGCGACAACAATATCTAGTCGAGTGTCGTTGTTAAACTCACCAACAGCTACAGAATATGGATAAGGGCCAACTGAATACCTTATTTCTTTTGCAAAAGAACCATTATCATATCCAAAAAGGACACTCACATCATTGCTACCCCAATTGGCGACAATGATATCTAGTCGAGTGTCGTTGTTGAAATCACCAACAGCTACAGATTGTGGATAAGAGCCAACTGAATATCTTGTTTCTTTTGCAAAAGAACCGTTATCATATCCAAAAAGGATACTCACATCATGGCTATTGAGATTGACGACAACGATATCTAGTCGAGTGTCCTTGTTGAAATCACCAACAGCTACAGAATATGGATAAGAGCCAACTGAATATCTTGTTTCTTTCATAAAAGAACCGTTCCCATATCCAAGTAGGATACTCACATCATTGCTACCATAATTGGCGACAGCGATATCTAGTCGAGTGTCGTTGTTGAAATCACCAACAGCTACAAAGTATGAATAAGAGCCAACTGAATATCTGGTTTGTTTTGCAAAAGAACCGTTCCCATATCCAAGAAGGACACTCACATCATCACTACCTTCATTAGCGACAACGATATCTAGTCGAGTGTCGTCATTGAAATCACCAATAGCTACAGAAGTTGGAGAAATGCCAACTGAATATCTTGTTTCTTTTTCAAAAGAACCGTTCTCATATCCAAGAAGGATACTCACATCATTGCTACCCCAATTGACGACAACAATATCTAGTTGAGTGTCGTTGTTGAGATTACCAACAGCTACAGCATATGAACGATAGCCAACTGAATATCTTGTTTCTTTTGCCAAAGATCCATGTTCGTATGCAACAAAGATATCTACGTTATCCCTGCCGTCGTAAGTGATAGCGATTTCCGATAGTTTATCATTATTAAAATCGCCAGAAGCCACAGTTAACGAATGCGAATCAAAACTAATTCCTTTACTTGTTTGATTTGCAAATGTGCTGTTCCCATATCCAAGCATCATACCTATTTGCTTTGTACCATAGTCGACCACAGCGATATCTACTACACTGTCGCCATTGAAGTCGCCAGTAGTAATCGATGTTGGATGAGAATTTGAGTCAATGGTAAGCATCATTTGATTTACGAAAAGGCCATCTCCATATCCAAAAAGGACACCTACATTATTAGTACCGTAATTAGCCAAGATGATATCCAAATTAGTGTCATTATTCATATCATCAATCACTACATATTGTAGGCTAGCTCCGCCGCCAGATGCATAGGCCATTTCATATGCTATCGCTCCTCTGTCATATTGCAGCAGGACACTCACATCGTCGCTACCCAGATTGGAGACAACGATATCTAGTCGAGTGTCCTTGTTGAAATCACCAACAGCTATAGAACTTGGAGAAGAGCCAACTAAATATCTTGTTTCTTTTGCAAAAGAACCATTCCCATATCCAAGAAGGACACTCACATCATTGCTACCCCAATTAGCGACAGTGATATCTAGTCGAGTGTCGTTGTTGAAATCACCAACAGCTACAGAGTATGAATAAGGACCAACTGAATATCTTGTTTCTTTTGCAAAAGAACCATTCCCATATCCAAGAAGAACACTCACATCATTACTACCATAATTAGCGACAACGATATCTAGTTGAGTGTCGTTGTTGAAATCACCAACAGCCACAGATTGTGGGCCATAGCCAACTGAATATCTTGTTTCTTTTGCAAAAGAATCATTCTCATATCCAAGAAGGACACTTACATCAGCACTATAAGAATTGGCAACAACGATATCTAGTTGAGTATCATTGTTGAAATCACCAACAGCTACAGAACGTGGAGAAGAACCAACTGAATATCTTGTTTCATTTGCAAAAGAACCGTTCCCATATCCAAGAAGGACACTCACATCATTGCTACCAAAATTGGCAACAACAATATCTAGTCGAGTGTCCTTGTTGAAATCACCAACAGCTACAGAATATGGATATAAACTAACCGAATATCTTGTTTCTTTTACAAAAGAACCGTTCCCATATCCAAGAAGGACACTCACATCATTGCTATACCGATTGGCGACAATGATATCTAGTCGAGTGTCGTTGTTGAAATCACCAACAGCTACAGATTGTGGATAAGAGCCAACTGAATATCTTGTTGGTTTTGCAAAAGAAGCGTTCTCATATCCAAGAAGGACCCTTACATCATTGTGACCCTGATTGGCGGTAACGATATCTAGTTGAGTGTCGTTGTTGAAATCAGCAACAGCTATAGATAGTGGATAAGAGTCAACTGAATACCTTGTTTGATTTAAAAAACCTTCATAATGACCAAGGAGAATATCAATGCTACCAGTATCATTATTGACGACGATGATGTCTAATCGCTGGTCATTATTGAGATAACCTACCGCCACTGAAATCGAAGAATAAGATCCGGTTGAATACATGATTAGATTTTCAAAACTACCATTTGCATGTCCAAGAAGTACACCTATATTTTCAATGCCATTATTAGTCATGACGATGTCTAATCGATTATCTTGGTTGAAGTCTCCGACGCCAATTGCATATGGAGAAGCAGAACCAATGGAATAGGTGGCTTGATTAGCAAAAGTTCTATTGCCGTTGTTTAGAAGTAAACCTATTTCATGAGTTCCAGAATTGGCGATAGCTATGTCGACAAACCCGTCGGCGTTGAAATGGCCAACAGCGATTGAATACGGATGAGAATCAACACCAGTGGAAAAGGTGATTTGTTTTTCAAAAGTCCTGTGGCCATTTCCAAAAAGTATGCCAATATTATTCGTGCCATAATTGGCAATAGCGAGATCTAAATAGTTGTCATTATTGAAATCTCCAACAGCTAATGAGGATGGAAAAGAATCATAACCAGTTGAGTATGTAATTGGAGACGAAAAATTTCCATGTCTATGTCCATAGAATATACTGGTACTGTGAGTTCCATAATTGGCGGTGACAATATCAAGTAATGAGTCATTATTGAAATCAGCGGCAATAATTGCTATCGGACGAGATAAGCCTGTTGAAAAATCTATTTGACTTGCAAAAGACCCATTTCCAAATCCATGAAACATGCCGATATTGTTAGTGCCAAAATTTGCTACTGCAATATCCAATTGATAGTCATTGTTAAAATCATCAACTATGACCATGTAAGGACTAGAGTAGGCACCTGTTGAATACATAGTTGGATCTCTAAAACTGCTATCACCATTTCCCAAATACACCGCTATTTTGTTGACTATGTGATTGGCGACAACCATATCCAAAACCGTGTCATTGTCGAAATCGCCGATGGCGACAGATCGTGGACCATACTTATATTCAATTGGCTTTTGAGCTGTTGGTTTGAAGTTGAGGCCGCACTTTGGAGCTAAACGATACATTAAAAGCAATGTGATGACTGATTGTTTACTCTAGTAAAACTATCCATTCTAGATTGTTTTGAATTATCAAATTTTCTATAGTATGCTGTCAGAAATTATCATATGTGTCTATTTAGAGATAATTCAAAACCATTATCCTTTAGTCTACAATAATGAGTGTATGTGTCAGTAGTTCCATCATACCGACAACGAATGTTCATCGATAGCTTTTGTGTGACAAGTGTACAATTTATTTAACTCTGTTCTTTTCCGTACAGTGAGCAATAAATGACTGCTATCGATCGGTTCAATCAAAAATAGTGGTAAATATTCTTCTCAGTTTTTAGTTACAGATTCTCTATTGCATTCGATTTTACTTCTAGGATAATTTGTCTAATGTCAGGTTTCATAGTGCTTTTAAGATGTTTTTAGGACTACTCACTTTTATTATCGAGACATGTAAGAGATGATAAAATACATTTATATTTACTCTCTGTTCACATTGTGAAAATAGCTAACCACTAACAAACTATTAGTCAGATAGAAGTATTATTTTATTATATATACAAAATTTTACTGTTTCGAAGAGTAGTAAGGAAAATAATTCATTAGAATGTAATAAAGAAATGAGGGCTCACAAGTGAATACAACATAGAATACACATGAGTCATACAGAAAGACAAAAACAAAGCGACTGTATCGGAACATACTAGCAAAATGAAAGAAGACGTGTACCGTAGAGAAGAAACATTTACTTTTGTCATATTCTATGAGAAAATCACTTGTATTTTCTCTAATTCTTTTGCATTTCTATTATATCCAAAAACATATTGATAGGATAGAGAAGAAGAAATCCAAGATAAGCTGATGTTTTCATTCAGAGATGTGAAAGAGTCCTACCAAAAATAGTAGAAGAAGTGATTCAAGAACATTGAATAAGATAAAGACAATCTTTCTGCAACAAGTAACAATGTGTAACATCAGTTTATAAAAATCCAGATCGTAAAATTGGTGTTTTATTGTGATATGAAAAAAATTTATTCTTACTCCTCTAGAATAAATCGACAATGGGATGATTCTTTCTGGAATTCTTTTCTAATCTATAGTTCCTGCTAATAAATAAAACAGAAGGGTCAGACTTATGGACACAGTATCAGATCTACTGGTGATGAGTATCTTGGTTGGTTCGCATTCGTCAGTGCCAGTTTTAAATAGAAAAGTGAAGCAGTTGTAATGCTTATAATTCTGTACTCGTTCGATGATTTGCTTCGAACACGTCGATATCAAATATTATAACAATTTGTTTTTTTTTAATCAAAGCTCACAAAACGGGTGAAATAGAACGAAATTAACAGTGAATTTTTATCGTATTGAATACGAAGAATGTAAAGCAACAAGAACATACTTGGTGAGTTTGGTGAGGTAAAACAAACTACCACCATACCGATGATCGTAACTATACATGTAATCATAGGCAATACAAAGACAGGTTTGGTTATGAAACCCAACATTACCCACCAACAAAATTTCCTGAAAAAGAGTAACAACGATGATATTTGAAATCAAAAGAAAAAGTTATACATATTCTGTCGTATCGTGTAACTTTTTATTCTAGCGATGGTATTGTTCTGGACGGTTCTTGCATTTTGCCGATTTGAAATTGATCTCGGCTTCTCGTTTGCATCGACAGCAACGCTGTTCTTACGAAGCGAGTAGTTGACCAATTTAACATTATTATCCATAGGAACCATTTCAATCTACGATGAAACAATAGTTTAGGAACAACACATACCTGATATGAGAATATAAATATATCTCTAACCATGGAGAGTTTCTATAAAAAAATATCAATGCAATAATTTTGCCTAATCCATTCAGTCGATATACGTATAAGCGGACGAGTTTTCTCTGCAATCTTAACAATTTTTTCAACTATCAAATAAATGTATTTAATATGTTAAGGAGGCTGCACAAGATTTGTGATGATAAACTTATATCCGATCAAAACACTTGCACCAATACTACATTTTCTTCGAGTATTGCTATTGACAATAACTTTGTCGCAGAAACAATAAAAGAAAAAAATTCGGAGACAAAATCTCCTTTAGATTTTTTCTATTCCAGTCAAAACTTATAGGCAAAATATTCAGTCAAATATTGTGATTATTCTAGAAGACGTTGCTTTATAAATAATATCTGCTCTGAGATATTATGTCACTAGTAGACACTTAGAATATGATTTTGATATGCAAAAAGTGTGCCAGATCAACGAAGACGACTTATTTTGAACTATTGTATGCTTAGAAATTATAACACAGTGAATTTTTGAAATACCAATACACAATTACTCAGAGAACTGTAATCGGTGTTACGAGTAACATCTATAGTATACCGATTATGTCACCGGATCCAAGGGACAAACACGTCATAAAGTGTGGCATTTCGAAAAAATTTCTATGATTGTTTTTCTATGGTGAAACTCAACTTTCATTTTGAATATCTCTGTGAGTCTGTCAAGCAATTATTTTCGAGTATATAAATTGGGATGGTATTGTGTAAAACTTCTTTGATTCTCCTAGTTTGCTTACACTAACAATCAATATTTTAGAAACTCATTTTATTTTCGAATTAATATTTAAAATTTTCTACTATTCATTTTTCAATTTTAGATTTGTACCGAAAGTATCTTGTATAAACCCAAAACGAAGAAGTTGAAAGATATATTTGATAAGAAAATTGTATTGACTTTTAAATTCACTTACTAATACATTGAAAGAACTTTCCGACTAAGAGTGATGCTACTCATAGAAGAAAGAGTTGAAGAAAAGCATTAAAGGATGTCCAGGAAGAGGAAGGGATAAAAAAACAGAGAAAATGAGATACACCATTTTTTTGAATAGTCCCGATAAATAACCTCTAAACAGAAAAGAAATTGCTTTTCAGCATTTATTACTGATGATGAATTATCGAGTGATCTAGATATAGAAGATACTTTTTTCTTTTTTCACTTTTAGTGCACAATAGGAAGAAACTTTCAAATTCTCTTTCCTTACAATACTTACGGTTGACCAAAAGTTCTAATCTTGGTGTTTAAAATTTTATAAAATATTTAATATCGAAAGTTTTATGATACAAATTCAGAGTAGATATCTTGTCTACAGCAATGTATGTAACAATTCTCTTTTGGATTTAATTCTAAAATCCTTTCAGATAAAGTCTATAATATAGTGAATATGCGAATATTTGACTGATCAAGCAAACGAAGAATTGCTAGCTTCAACGGTTTCTAAGATAGTAAAGAACATTTTCGAAAAAGAATTTTAAAAATTTTAGACAAACTGTTAGAAACAATGGAACTTTGTATAAATCATAATGGTGACTATTTTGAACATTTAATACGGTAAAACTAAAAATATCTCTTTCTTTTTTATATTTTTATGTGATGCTATCAGAACTTTTAGCCAGCCCTAGGTAGACTTTATCTGAAAAAATGTTAGACTTAAATTAACTATTTTATTAATTTTAAACATTGGGATCAGAACGTTTAGTCAACCCTAGGTATGTAGCGTAACATTGTCTAAAAAATGGCATGAAGATTTTACCAATACACTATCTTTCATTGGGTAATAGCCAACAGAATCATAGCATCAAATTTAACAGGCTTTCTAGATGATCCCGAATTCAGCTGCTTATAGCTAAGTTAGACTCTTCTATGAGAATCGATTGAAGTGGAAACCAAATTCAATCCAGTTTGTAAACTAGTGAACGTCACGTGATACCACTCATCATATGGTAAAGAAGATATGGCTTAACAATCTTATTAAAATAAGGGTGGCTTCACAAATGAGTGGTGAATATAAAATATTTAAAAAAAACCTGTCTGAAAGGACTTTGTCGAATTTCGTGATCTACCTTGAATCAGGATATCATATGTGATTTTGTACAAAAATTTGTGCTGGATCAAATAGCATACAAGTAGGGATGTACCGCGACCGAGCCTCTCGGTCTCAGTCTCGTGCATTCTCGGCCGCTACTGACAGAGATCAAGACTCTCGGTCGAGAGTCTCGGTATTGGTTGATCTCAATCTTAGTATTGAGGAGTGCCGGTCTCGATTATACTGAATCTCGATCCTTTCTTTATCGTAGGTAAGTGTAGTACTCTGTCTTGATCGAAATTATAATTTTTTCGGTCTTTTGGCCGAGATTGAGACGATCCGGACCGAGAGTCTCAGTTTCGGTACATTCCTACATACAAGATATCACGTTTTTCTCAAATTTTGTTGTTAAACTCAATTCAATACAGTTATAGATGCTTTTCAATTTTTATACAGTTAATAGTTTTCATCGATGGATTCTTCTTCGTACTAAAAAATGGTTTCTTTTCTTAGGTCGAGGCTTTTCTTGACTATGTGATACTCTCCTGCTTTCAACTTTATGCTACAAAAAAAAAGAGTATCAACGTGAAACATTCACAAAAATTGCACACTATGAATCTCTATATGTTTAATAGATAGCATCATTCGAAGCAGCAGAGACTGATTGTCAATTTCAGTATTGCCTCATAGAATAATCTTTTTTCTCGTATAGAGAAACTGGTATGTTGACAATATTTGAACAATATTCAACAGGCCTATTACATTTTTTTATATTCTAATGATCAGCGCGACGTTGCTGATGAACTAATACAAATACTCAGGACAATTCAAAAAAGTGGCAATGACACTTTATCACCATAAAGTGAGCTTTAAAAAACTGTCTTATTGTATGCTTTAATAGTACAAACGATGCTCTATTTTTCTATAGTATTAGATCATTATTCAATTAATATCATAATAATAAAATTTCTATAAGGACTATTGTGTGAGGCATATAAACGACTGCGCATTGCGTTTCAATCTTCAATCATCTAATACATTGTATTAAAAACAAAATATACAAGCACCAGATGCAACGCGACAAGCTCTACAATTTATAAAGAACAGTTTATTTTATATATGAAATAAGAAAAAAGGAATTTCTCT